GTGGAATGCTAATCCCAATAGAAATCTGTCAAACAATATGTCAAGATTGACATTGATACTTAATGATGATGGGTGCGTGGATTTCGAAATACTTTACAAGCCAAATAGGTTGAAGTAGAGCTTTCAGCAATTTAATAAATTAACTATAATTAAGCAAAAATATATATAAATAAATAAAATATCTTATCTTATTCGACAGAGAGCTGACAGCCAAATCACTCGCTGCAAGACACCAACGAACTTTTAATATGAAGATAATTTTTTATTAAAATTTAACTAAAATATAAACAATAATTTGCATATAATTTTTCTGTATAAAATATATAAAAAATAGAAAATAGTTTTCGACAAAATGATTGCCAAATAAAAATTCCAATCATCTCTGCAAAGGTAAAACTTTTGACCGTTTGACTTGATTTGCGATGTTGCAAGTGCAAAATCGTTGATTTTGCTATCAATTGCCAGAAATATTTTATATATACATTTTATATAGAAAGTAATATGTATGTATATAAAGTTTTTCAACCACTGATAACAACACATAACTTAGTTTAATTTTAATTTTTTTTCTATTCATTAGTTCAGTTCAGTGTTTTCACTCGTGACTTCTACACGCTTAAACCAACGATTCGCTACTTTTAATTATTTATTTATAAAAATGTGGTATATATTTCGGGTTTTATTTACTGTGGAAAATGCAAAAAAGGACTTAGTTTTACACGATGTCGTTCGGCAACAAAAAAGTGTTATTTCTATTTCGATTGTTACATATAAAATTTAAGTTTCGTTAATAATTATTATTGCACATTAACTTCAAAGATAAATGCAATTGTGATGCAGAAAATTAATAATCTAAAAGTATGTAAAAAAACGATACGTCGCAAATCGTTCTTTAGTAGAGGTAAGGACTGGAGAAAAACGTCAGTTATAAAAAATTCCTAACTGGTTGCACTAAAAAAATTAATATATATTTAAAATTACACATTAAAAGTAACTCGCTGTACTAATTCATTTGAAATAAGTCCCATAATCGGTTTAGTTTAGACATGTATATTAAAATAATCAAAAATAAAAGTATCAGGTAACAGCACCAAAAATGCAAAAATAGGATCTCCTTACTGGAATTAAATTTTTAAAATTTTTAATTTGAGACTCATTTCACTTTTTTACAATATACATTTTTAACAAATATATTAATATTATTATGTATAAGGTATCGATAGAAATTCTGAATTGAGTTTAGCTTAGTGGCTTAGTTTCCATTTCCCTTAGTGGGACATAGAGCTTCATTACCTGAATTGTACGGTTTCACTCTTCCATTTACATTCGAGTAACTGTTCCATTTACATTTCAATCCATGTCATTTTTAGAAGATTGGAAAACGTATATTTCGATGAGTGAGCACGTGAAAAGACTGCTTTTCATTTTGGGTTAGTGACTTACTTTGGACAAGTATCAAGTGTAAGAGCAGCCATTGTACATTTTAGTTCGTCTGACACTTTTTCTTCTACATTCTGCCTGAATATTTGGCGGTTCATTGAAGAATTTTAATGTCGCCAGCCTCTATTACCCGTGAGAAATATATAGCATTTCCATCCATATCTCGAAAATTTTCCCCTAACTGCCAACTAAGGGTGCATTCTCTGCGATAATTGGCTCACCCAGGAAGAACCATTATTTATTGTTATTAATGTTGTAATCCTTTTTATCGTTACTCATTCATTATCGCTATAAATAGTGAATATAATAGAATATGAAATGAAAGAGTTTTCAGATTCCAATAAAGAGATCCTATGCGACGTCAGTAAACTTTTTATACTAAAAAATGTCGGTCTCTGATTTTACAGTATTGAAGATAGACATAAGTTTCCGATCCGATATCCATCTCCTTGAAATTTTTTTCGTTTTCTTTCTTCTTGACTTACTTTCCCCTTTCTTGTTTTATGGGCCTTATTTCTTGCTTCATTTATATGGAATAGTATTGAAATTTAACAATTGCAGCCTTATGTAAATTAGGAAGGTATAACATCAACTTGTGTATGTGTGAAGAGAAGATGAATGGTACTAAAATAAACTAAATGGTGCAAATTTTTAGAAAGCAGACATATAGTCAAAGGCACTAGAACTGTATTGAAAAAGAATGAGAAAATTGAAAGATAATTTATCATTCTATAATATTTTGACGATTTTAATTCAATTTTAATCTGAATTAATGTACTTATTAATGTAATTAAAGGTTTCTTACTGTGATCCACTTTCTTTTCATAAAATTTATTATCGATCTATAAGTGTTAAGAAATTGCTTCACTGACATCAACACTGATACGCTAGACTATTATAAGAACTTTCGTCGAAGTTCAAAGCTATTAAGAATTCAATAAAATTATTGCTCTTAACAGTTATAATAGTTTCGTTTTTATAACTTCTTTGCATATTTATGTGTCAGTCTACAAGATTTGCATACGGCTTAAACCATAACTTATACTAATAATACGCCCACTCACCTATGTAGAGTTTATGATGGCCGATTACGATTTACAGGCAAATCGCATTTTATCATAAAACCGCTATAAAAGCTAATATAAGCCACGCCAGCTGAACGCCTTAATGTGCGTCTATAACTCGTTAACTTTGCAATTTATGCGTGTGTCCTAGATATATCGTTAAATAATAACAACACCAACAACACTAACAACAACAATGGAAGAAATAGCAATGGCAATAGGTATGCTCAATTTTCGTATTAGTAAAATTGACAATTAGGATAAATGATAAGAAATAAAACGAGTTCTTCATGGAAGAATATCACGTTTCCATAGCATATGAGTGACCGCAAAGCCCGCTTCCACGGAGGATTCAATAAAATTTTGAAAGCTATTGTAAATGTACTGTAGAGGTGTGATCTTGGCAACGATTTCAGGTATATTTATTGTATCTTGTCAATTATTTGAATTACAAAAAGTCAATAGACAACGTGAACTGCAAAAAATGAATTTGAGAAGGACGGTTTGACTCCGTAGATAAATATAAATTTGTATGAGTAAAGATTTTTAACCTTAATTATGCTTTAAAAAGTCAAAGAAAAATACTTCGATCTGTTCCAAACTAATACTGGGAATTGGGAATTGCTATGCGATAGTAAAATCGTGAGGAACTAGTAATTACTATCTAAATGAATGTATTAAATAGTTAAACGAAATATGTGAAACATCCTAATTGTAATTTATTTAAATTTCTTTCCAAATAAAATGTTAGCAATTTTAATAACAACAAACCAACTTCCGTGACATCCTTTCCCTTTAGGGGTTAATGCTAATCAAAGTTGGCAGACGCAACACTTCGTAGGCTGAGTTGTGGTTGCTGAGGCCATAAGCACAAATGTAACATGCTAAACATACCCACTGCACCCACTTATCCAATCCCCATAGAGCCGCTTCTCGCACGCAGCCAACATAAATAATAAAATAATAAAGAAAAGCGTGCCAAATCTCCTTGCGGCCGTAACACACTTCAATAATAACAAATATGAAAAATGCAGTTAACATTGAAAAATAAAACTGATTTCATTTGATCGCATGCGCGCATCACCGTCTCTCATCTCGGATCTCTCATCTCATATCTGGCGGGATCACAGCATCACAACGCCGAACTGTGAGTTGCATGATGCTTTGCACAGCTGCACACAGATGCTTTTCTATCACTTTTTTCAGCACACAATATCAGCTCGGGTTGATACATTTTCGATAGATGCGCGCGTCAATGCAATGTAGGTAAATGTTCATGAAGACGCACAGTTTCCAGCGGCGAACTGTGTAATTGCATTTTTATGAAAACCGATTGAAGCATGACAGACTAAACACTGTTGTACAACGAAAATCTTGATTGCCTATGCATATGCCTATGCCTATGCCTATGCTTTAGATAGGCAAATCCATAAAACCACTTCCAGTGAACCGCGCGTTGAGCTTGTCGTTTCAAATTCTCACTTGAATCCTCTGCTTTTATGTGCCACTTCGAACAATTTGCAGTTGACTGTCTACCCAAGTCGTGCGCTGTGGTGTGACGGTGATGGCCTCTTTTTGTATCAGACAGACTAAAATTTTACAACTTTCATATGCCTTATATTCTTATATACGTATATGTCCACAGAAGCGTACTTAAGTTGATTCGGTTCAATTCTGCTTTGCCAAATCCATGTTCCATTTATAAAAAAGCGAATACTTATGATATAAAAATCCCGCACTCTCCATTTACAACCGTAAATCCGCTTTTGTGCTCTTCAGTTGACCGCATGCGGCACGTGTTTAACTTGGTTATACGCCATTGGCGTTAAGTTCAATTCTAATTCAATATTGATTGGTGTTAAATGGAATTTGAAACGTTGGAATGTTTAAGGATTGCACATGAAACCTATTGTAAATTGTTCTTCCGTGTTTTTTTGTAGTTATACATATCACGCCTACACTTATAACAGACTTCTAGATTTAAAAGAATTTACTCTAGCACTCTCTTTGCCAATCCATCGTCTAGTACATTTGTCAGCATCTAGTACACAGACATGAAAACATTTTTACCAATAAAAATTAATTTTATTGATAAATATTAACAATATCATCATCTTGCATTAATTTTCATTCCGGTTAAGCTCTTCTCTCTGAAGCTCTATAATCTGTTCATATTTTAATCTCTCCCTTTTCTGCACACATTTTTGTATTTATCATTTCATTTTATTTTGCCGAATTTCTTTCTAAATATTTAAAACCGTTACATACATACTTTGAACCTTCTGGGTACTCTGTTTATCCTAATATTTCATATTCTTCCCTTCTTCCATCGAGTTATACCAGCGTCTCCATATGCCGGTGACACAAAACTTTGAAACGTCTGAAATATGTACGTCTTCTTCAGAACATATACGTTTATTTTATTATTGTACCATATATATTTGTTATATGTATATTCTCCATGTCCACTATATCGTTTTCATTTTTAATTTTCAGTTTTTACTTGGGGTAAACGTATGAGTCGAAAGCTTGATTTACTTAAACGCAGCGACACCACCTCAACTCACAAATCTCATACGGACTTACGCAGCTTATTTCATTCTCCAACTCATAACAACAACAATAATTCAAGCACTGCAAAAGACAACTATCAGCCAAATACCTTGAAGAAATGTAAATCTGGTCCAATAGAAACAATCAAGCAACAACAAAAAAACCAGCAGCAGCAGCAGCAACATCAACAACAACAAAATTCTAGCAAACATGAAGCGACTTCAAGCCAAAGCAAAACCCAAACTAGCACTAGTTTGCAAAACACCCCCACCCATACGACACAAAACACACAGCAACGTTCACAAAAGGCTTTGAAAAACTTTTTCCATCGAATTGGTTCAACTGGTATGCTTAATCATAAATCACATAATCTGGTCAAAGCATCTGAGAATCAATCCACAACAACAACTCTATACCGCAGCAGTTCAACAAGTCAGTTGACCAGTTGTTCCTATGTCAAATGCGATGACCCTACAGAGGGTCTAAATTTAGCTACTGGTAGGCAGGGAAAACTACAAAAGAGCACTACTATAGCCGCCACAAGTCTCAAATCAAGTAGTTGCGATGATATTGCCAAAGTTGGTACAACTATCACCTCACCCAATGGTGAACACTCCTCAAATGATGTTCTTGCTACAAATGAACAATCTAATCGACGTGGTGCGTTTCCATATGCATTTTTACGTTCACGCCTGTCAGTCTTGCCTGAAGAAAATGGAGGTTCTGTCATGAAGCAGCCATCATTGTCAAGTTTACATACAATTGGTGGCATAGAATTGTCATCGACTCATCTTAATCACCCTCATCATCATCAACAGTACCTACAAGTACAACATTCCCCTTTGCCAAAGCATCGCAACTCAACAATATTGCCGGCCGGTGATGCAGACTGTGTTTCCGACACAATCTCATTAGCGAGCACTTCTCCAAATCATAACCAGAAGATGATTTATCGGAATGGTGTATTAATTAAACGCTATTCTTCGGATGACAGTGCAATAAGCAATTGTTCCCCACAACAAAGTAGTACTGGCAATGGTACCAATGGTGACACAATAGTTTCGCGAAATAACAGCATCTCATCTAAGGACTGGGAACCACTTTACCAAAGATTAAGTAGTTGTCTAAGTTCAAACGAATCGGGCTACGATAGCGATGGTTGTGGTGGTGTCGGCCGTCATGGCAGTAATAGTCTTAGTGTCTCCGGGTGTGACACAGAATCTATTGCTTCGGGCACTCTTAAACGAAACTCATTAATATCATTGACATCTTCGGAGGGCGTTGGTGGTGGTATAGTAATTGGTGGAAGTATGCGTAGCGGCAGTGTATGCAGTGGTCCTGTTTCTTTAGGAGGCTATAACTACGATTATGAAACCGAAACCATACGTAGACGATTTAGGCAAATCAAATTGGAGCGTAAATGCCAAGAGGACTTCATAGGCTTAGTTTTATCACCAAAGACAGTTATGACATCAACCAATGAACAACAATATCGATATTTGATTGTAGAGTTTGACCCTTATGGTATGGCCCAAAAGTAAGTATCATCTTTCATTGAAAAACTAATTATTGATATGAAAACATAGTTATATAAATCATAAAAATCAACTAAAACCATTATCATCACCAAAAATATTTGTATAATAGCTTTTTCTAATATTTTAGGGATGGCCGCCTACGTCTAGGTGATGAAATTGTTAATGTAAATGGAAAGCACCTGCGTGGCATACAGTCGTTTCAGGAAGTCCAAAGACTACTTTCTATATTTGTAGATAATTCTATCGATTTAGTAATTGCACATGATGAGATCACAACAGTTACCGATTTCTATACAAAGATTAAGATCGATAGTTCGACTTTGAATCTTCAACAACAATACAGCTCAATGCAAAGTTTAACCGGAGAGCAAAACAGTCGGAAAAGTTCAAATACATCTTTACCCCCAAATGAATATTTAGCACGTGCCCGCAAACGTTTGAGTTACACCCAACGCACCCAAAGTACAGACAGCATCAACAGTTATGATCTGCATAGTCTGCAACTTGCTCTGGAAGATGATGCAGCAGATGCAGACAACGATGCCGATACACGTTCTATGCATTCCATGAGCATTATGCCCACACCTATGCCATTAATGCAACACAGGCGATGCTCAACGCCTAGACATTCCATGGATGTAGCCGGTAGTTCGGGTCCTGAATTCGAATATACCAGACGCCGTGCACGTTCTGCTACAGGTCAGCGCAATTTGGAACTAACTCCCTTATATAATATATCTACAGAGTATATACCAGTGTACGCAAACCGTGCTAGCGTAACGTTTTCGACGCCACCACCAACTTCGACGATAAGTGACGACGAAAAGTGGCAGCTGTTGCACCGTAAGCGCTGTTCCGAAGGTTCAGCACTTATGCGTGTGCAGCAATCGGAATTGAGTTGTGCTGGACGTGCGGCCGGAAGTCGTAGCGCATCACTAACGCTTGGTGGCACACCTGAAAATAAATGTAATATAATTAATAATATAGACGTGGTTGATGGTGTACAACAACAACAACAACAACAAAAACAACCACAGTCCTGCTTCCCCCCACGTACGCACTACACACGAAATTCCATAAATCTCTCCAACTCACATTATCGTTCGTTGCGTTTCGCACACTCGCGTTTAAGTTCCTCCCGCTTAAGTTTATTTATGCAGCCACTTTCTGTGGCTCACCAGGATGGCAGTGAAAATACTAATGGCACTAATGTGGATTCTAACAACCAATTAACCCATCAACACAATAATAATGTCAAAGCTACTACTAATGAAACTTCTAATTTAGTGAATAGTACAAATATCAACAACACAACAGCTGCAACAATTACAAATTGTAGCAACAAATACCAACAACAACAAGAACAAAATTCAACAATTGTTGCTAACACTGATCTCAACAATAAGACTAACAATAAAACTCAAATACAAAAACCTAACCTCACTTTTCACCAACTTCATCAACAACATTTAACCATTCCCACTTCATTACCAAAAACAACAACAACATTATCATCATCTGCAACTGCAACTTCGTTATTACAGCAACATCGTCCTTCGCTGCCCGTTACAAAGTTGACTATTCGCGATGAAGAAATGGCAGAAGTTATTCGAGCTTCTATGAGTGATGGTGAGTGCTTTAGACTAATCTGAGCAGAACGTCAAAAACTTCGCGCCTGAAAAATCAGATCGCAACTCCTGCTCAAAGACCAAAATTCTGTAGGAAAGATAGAACATACAACTGTAGTCAAGGCCATCTACCCATGTTTCAGCAGAACATGCCAGATGTTTTCCAAAAAATTCAGTTCTAAACCAGTAATACTAAGACCTAAGACCTAAGAGTGCAAAAGGTCTCAAACAAAAAATAAAGATTTATAATTCGAAAATTCTTTTGATCGAATATGAATACTAATGCTTTTAAATAGTTTATTACCAGACTCAGCTAAAACCGCACTTGAGATGAACATACTACCATGCGTAATGATTTAAAGATCACATGTTAGACACTGTATTAATCCTTGTTACATCCTTCGTATATTTTCTATATATATACTATATACATTATTAAAAGTTATTATAATCCCTCATACTTTAATTTATAGATACTTTTTATAACAAATACTCGTAAATGGCTTTTCTAATTACATTTGATTTTAGAACTAGTTCTTCACTTAATATTAACTAATTTATTTAATTAATACCAACAGTTTTTAACAAGTTTTGGTGCAAACTGAACAAATTTTTAAACCCCAGTCACAAAACACAGTAGATCAGTTTTTTGGAATATAGAATTCTATAACAATGTTCTATTTTTATAATTTAATAACAGGCACTCAACGTTCGATACCAAAAACAATAACATTCTTCAAAGGACCTGGAATGAAATCCTTAGGTTTCAGCATTGTTGGTGGTCGTGATTCACCCAAGGGTAATATGGGTATTTTTGTAAAAACTGTATTTCCATCTGGGCAGGCGGCAGATGATGGGACACTTCAAGCGGGTAAGTGAAGAAGAACTGCAGTGAATAACAGAAGTTACTGGTATTGCAGCTACTATACTTCAGACTAATTTATGTTTATATCCATATGTATAAGTCCCGTTAACGTTTCTGCTTGTTCTAGGTGATGAAATTGTCGAAATTAATGGAAATTCTGTTCAAGGTATGAGTCATGCTGAAACAATTGGGCTGTTCAAGAATGTTCGTGAAGGTGCTATTGTTCTAAAGGTCTTAAGACGGAAGTATGACTGTTTATGTTATAAATTATAAAATAATTATGTAAAAACTTATGTTTTTATTTTTCAGATTACAAAAAGCTAAATCAATGGGAACATAACTATACCGAAAATCGGATGGAAAGCTTACGTTTTAGCAAGAGCCAAATATAATAAAGCAACTTGTAAGGATATACGATCCGGAAAACTTTATTAATTACATGTATGGTGTACATTCCAACTAAATTTTAATTAGCAGGGGCTAAGTTATTAATTTATTTAAATTTTTTGATAGTTTTAATAATTAAAATTTATTATACATACATAGACGTAAATATATTAAATCGACTTCTAAATTAATAAAGTATATAATGTAAATATGTTTATAATATTATATATATTGCTATGTGCTCATTTATTATAACATAATAAATTTCTATAATTTATTTATTTATATATATATACATATTATTTATTTATACATATATATATTATTTAGTTATGTATATATATATTATTTATTTATATATATATTATTTATAATATACATATATCAACTTTCATATAAATATATGAATTTTAAAAAATATATATTTAAAATAATATATTTTCTTATATAAGGTTTATATTCTTTATAAATTTTAAAATATAATGCAAAAAAATTGCTACACATATTTTATAAATAGAAAGAATTGCATTAAATTGGTATTTACTTATAAGTTAATAAATACCATATATTTATTTATGATTCGGCATCTAAATATTTTAAAATTTTAATTATTGTTAATGTTTTTAATATTAAACTACACGATATGAAATGAAATACATATAATATACTTAAATCAAATCTATCTTTATTATTATAGCCTTTATATGGTTATTAGATGTTTAATGCTACTTTAATTTTTAAGATATTTTAAGCAAATTTAAACATAAAGTGTAAAACCGTACAAAAATATTTTAATTATTTAAAAATAATATTTTATATAAATAGATGTTATTAATTATACTATAAATATTATAAATTTATGCATTATAAAAGCAATAAACGTCGATGTAAATTCAAAGTAAATTTTGTATTTTATTTTTTTCCTTTTGGCAAATTTGACAAGTTCATACTAATTTTGAAATTAATTATAAATATAAATTTAAAATTATAATATAATCAATTGGTTACAATGCAACTATCAATTCATTTGCTTCTTCGTTGTAAAAGAATTTACATATGAAGTTTATATTATTAAGACAGGAAGACTGTTGTGAATATTTAGACAACTAAAAATCCCAAAATAAATCTAAATTAAAAATAACGGTTTTAAGAGTTATATTTACTCTAAAACTAATTATAATATCTGCAATAATGAGTTATAAAAAATACGTTATAGGGAGTTTTTCCGCTTACATTGTGCAATAACATTGGTTTTATGTCTTCAACATATATTGATCGAAATTGCCTTACACGTGACTCTATCTGACAATGAAATAAGTAGCTAATTATATATTTTGTTGTACCTACTTTATTAATTGGTAAGAGATATCATTTATCTTAAGCAAAAATATTTTTCGTGAGTATATTCGCAATACTTATCAAATAAGTTTAAAATAAATCAATATTATAACAATCAGTTCAATTATATAACTTTAGTATTTGTTTATTAATTTAAATATTCTATTAAATACTAGTTCACAGTATTAAGCATATATTCAGAATATATGCATATCAGAAAAAAATAATTCTTTGAAAAGATATGTATTAACTATATAACTAGTTAGCGCATACGTATTTAATTAGAGACATTTATGTGTAGTCTATCAATTTTCTTCCATCAGACACTTTTTCACCTCACTTTCTCCGTCTTCTTTTACAAGCAGACGTTGTTTTTTAACATAATGCTTGATACGATTCCGCAAACTCTCTAAATAAATATGAAAGATAAAGTTGAATACATTATAAATAACAATAAAGTTCATTTTTAATATAAAACTAAATTAAACTATCTTAATATTTAACTATCTTAATATAGTAGCAATATATTATAAATACAATCTATATTTATTTATATAACATAAATGAAACAACTAAAGAAACTATAACAAATTCATTTGTAAATGTAAACAACTCACCACAACGTTGTCTCTCTAATAAGGGAATATATTGTTTCGGCTTGACTGAGTCTTGCAACAGTAGTATCTGGGATCTGACATTCAATTGAAATGAGTCCCCAGCATTAGTCTCTAAACAATGTAGCACATTTCTTATCATAGTACTCCTATAAAATATATAACATTAATAGAAAATTAATATTATTAATACGTATACCAAATACATTTTTCAATTAAATTTATATGTATATATATGTAATATATTATAATTAGATGCACAATTGAGTGTTTAAATTTTATTCTGATTATAGTGAATAACATTCTTGTAATTAATATGATATAATAATAAGCATCTTGTTAGTGTAACTGGCCTATATCAGGCAACTTTAAGGTTATCGCAATGGGCAATCTATGTATATGAGTAAAAGTACTGACAATTGTGTCAGCATGCACCATTTTGATTTAACCTAACCCAACATGTACCATTATAAAGAACAGTACCCCATATACTTACTTTATAGTAGCTTTAGTCCATTCACTTTGTACGTTTTCCAGAACTCTCTCTAAATTTTTTGGATCATAAATCCAATGTTCAAGATTCGTATCACGTTCTACTTCCACTTGAAGTTTATCTTCTTTTGTTTCAGCGTTCTCACTATCATTATTAAATTTACAATTGAAAAGGTTTAAAGGTAAGCCACTTGCTGGCGTATACTGTGGTTTGCTGTTTTGTTAAATAAAAAATATAAAAATAAATACAACACATGAAAGTGAGCATTATTACTATACCAAGGATTAGTTTCTATATTCAGTAAGTCATCTATGACGTGAATTTTTTCTTTATTTTGCCCGATCAATAAGAGCACAGCCATAATACAGCGTATTTGATGCCACAAAAATGCATTGGCCTCTATTTCCAAATAGTACATTGTATAGCCTATATGAACATACATATAAAATGGTATTGATGTTATGAAAAAATATTATTAGTTCTACCTCTATTATTATCTGTTTCATTTGGACATAAATGTATGTCAGCCTTTTTAAGATTACGTGTATAATTTGTAACTCCATTATGTACATCCATTTTGCAGAAGTTTCGAAAGTCAGTATGACGTTCTAATAATTTGCATCCTGCACGCATAGTCTAGATTTTAAAGTAAACTTAATGAATATAAGAAATAAATATTGGCATAAACCAATATGTATATAGGTCCGGAAATACTATTTTATTTACCTCGATGTTCAAATCACCCTTTGGGAAGTAGTAACGGTATGTGCGCTCAATGCAGTCGAAACGTGCACTAAACGAACTTTTTTTAAGTGGCATCCATGCTACACACTGTATATTTCTAGGCAAAATACGGTTTAATAACCCACAATAATCAATTTCATCTTTTAAAGCATGTGGTTGTAGTTGTTCGTCTTCTGAAAACTTGCTACGCAAGTCAATGGAAATCACTTGACAAAAAGCACTAACTTCTTTGTCTGTACGGCCACAGCGATGATAATTTGATGTCGTGCGTGACTCAATAAGACAGCAACGTGTAAGTGCTTTGAAGAGGTGGAACTCTAAAAACGTAATTGTTTTCTAAAACACTTTTCAAAATGCAATTTCATCCTAACTCACCAATTGTATCATTTGTGTCTTCCTGTATTGCAAAGCCTTGATAGTCCCACCCAAAATAAAGTAATTTAATAAGCACGTGCCTTTTATGACATCTATTTGTTATAAATGATTAATGTCATCTGAATAATATAGAAAATATCACTAAAATAAAAGCCTTACTTATTGAAATCAAATTGCCTTTTTTTGTTTATATCAGCAACTTTAGCTTGGGTAGTACCGGCATTAGTGGATGCATCTTTTTCCAAGTTCTCTTGTTGTTTTTTCTCCTCTGAGTCAGATGCTTTAAATATATTAATGTATTCCTCATCTTGCCGATCCTTTTCACTAAGTTTCTTTTGCAGAATATTTTTTAGTTGAAAGTTATGTGCCTGAAGCTGAATTATTTTATCAATTAACTCTGTTTTGCTTAATTTTTCTAATTCATCGCGTGTTTGGTGTTTTGCTTTTTTGTTAATTTTAATTTTCTTCTCGATGGAGCCGCTCATCTTTATAAAATTAAAAACAAATGCTGTATTGACAGCGCTTACATCTTCAGCCAAATTTGACAGCGTCAAACCTTTCAGCGTCAATTATTTTTTACATATGATTTTTATATATTCTAAAACTTTGAACCAGAGGCATCAATCATTCGAAGAATAATAACTCGTTTCAAAAATTTCTTATACAATTCAAATCGATTATTAATTGTATATTCGAAAAATAATATATCTTTTTCCAGTTTTATATATATTGCTTTATTATTGCTTATAGTCCCTATTGAAAACAATACTCACGAAATAACATATCGTATATAATTATTGGATCGACCCAAATTGTTTGATGTCATTTTTTAGCTTTTAAATTATATTAAACAATATTATTTTAATCGAATGATACAACGTTAATGAAAATGTTTTATAATAAATGTTTAATATTTTTTGTCATTTTACATAATTTTAATATCATCTCAATTAACACAATAAACTTAATAATTGTATTCCAATCAGACCCATATAAAGAATATTCAATAGAATTGCTATAAACCAACACAATTATGTCCTAATTGACTTGAATCGAATACATTAAAATAAGCAACTCTATTTTCTGGTATCAATAAAAACATATGGAATAAATTACGAGTTACTCGTAGTAAAACTCAAGTAACATGCAAGTAAAGTACAAACTGAGAGCGTAACACAAATAAAGTATCAAATTACGCTCTTTACACAGATGAAACAGCTTTATGTAAAGTCTAGTGAGAACATCAGTGTCGCGCAAATAAATAATACAAAAATTTAAAATCAAACCAAAACAGCTGATTCACAAGTAAAATCTGTTTAACATTTTTAATTTACGACAGGGATGTAACGCTGTCTCAGATGATCTCTTTTACTCAAAAATATGCTGGTGGAATGCACTTATGTATACAGAGTTACTACGAGTAGCTCATGGAACAGACCTATTATGACAAACCACATTAAAAACAATACTTCAAATAAAAATATATAAGAAATTCTTATTTTATTAGTGTTTTTTATTTATCACTCCTATTAGTTTTTTGTCATAACAAATATTGTTTTTTACCATAGTTTGAACTACACCAACTATTATATATCAAGTAAGGTTTTTGCTCTAACAAAAAGCAATACGTAACGAAAGATTGGTATGAAATAAAAACAGAGCATCACAGTTAAAAATTTCTGTAAAACATAATAGAACTAGAAAATACATTATATATAAAATTTTTTCTAATAAACAAATAATTTCACCGTGCTCGTACTCTACTGAAGAAAATGTAACTATTGGTTGCTTTACATTATTATAACTAAAACTCTTATAAAATTTTCACAATGGTAACACCTAATTTATCTAATTTTTATCTAACTATAGTTACTGCCATACCGACATAATTTTCTATTTCCCTCAATTTACCATAAATTTACTCAAACTCGCACATGGCCTATATAGTAATTGTATACAAAAATATAATATAAAATATATAATTGTATTGATGATTTGCATATATCTAAAACGTTTGCTTTAAAATAAAATGAGTTTAGTTTCTTTCAGAATTTTGATGATTGAGATATACTTCAGTAGAGTGCGAAAAACTGTAGGTGAAAAAAATGTTTAGAGTATCTACAACACATTATTTAATCAAAATAATATAAATATGTAATAAAATTTTTTTTTGAATAATTTAGTTGCCTTTTTAGTTGCTTTCTAAAAATTTTATTTCTTCAATATTATGCCTTTTCGGTGGCTCACAAGTATGACAAAAAATGCATGCTGGCCTATATGTGCCACGTGAGGCATTTACATCTCTGTTGCAATCTGTCAAGTGTTATATGTTGACATATATAAATAAAAATAAATAATTAAAGAATAAAGTAATTTTTAATTAATAAAAATAAATAATTAACATAGAAAAACAGCCAGCAACTTGATGTTTTTCGCCGTACTTGTGAGCCACGGAAAAGGCATATTGTTCTTAATTTAAATATTATTTTGCATACATATGTGACACTGCACTTCATATTTATTATGTTAATAATAGAATTTCTTTGATATTTTAATTTCTTTTAATTTGCCAACTCAAAATATTTGTTTTCTACGTGAGATATACTGCAGATTTATATAAAAACAACACTGTATGCCGCTATTCTCAATTCGCTTTTACTTTATGTGAATACATATCGCCCTGTTTGTGTATACAATTATCGATAAGTTTGTAGTTTTTATTATTGTTGGAGTTTTCTAGTAAACAAATTAGATAAAGTTAAAATTAAAAAAAAAACATTTCCAAAAGCGCTTCAAGATGAAAATGAAACTAATTGAATCTGTTGTTCGCAGCTTTAAAGTTGCGAAAGTGTTTCGTGAAAATACGGACAAGATAAACGCTATTGACTTCGCACCAAATGGCGAGCACTTGATTTCATGCAGTGAGGACGACCAAATTGTCATTTATGATTGCGAAAAAGGCACACAGTCGCGCACCGTTAACTCGAAGAAATATGGTGTCGACTTAATCCATTTCACACATGCCAACAATACAGCCATACACAGCTCGACAAAAGTTGACGATACCATCCGTTATTTGAGTTTGCATGACAACAAATATTTGCGTTATTTCCCGGGGCATACAAAGAAAGTTATATCACTGTGTATATCGCCAATTGAAGACACATTTTTATCTGGTTCATTGGACAAGACTCTGCGTTTATGGGATTTGCGTTCACCAAACTGTCAAGGACTGATGCATTTATCTGGTCGTCCCGTGGCTGCCTATGATCCTGAAGGCTTGATATTTGCGGCTGGTGTGAACTCAGAAAGCATAAAGTTATACGATTTACGTTCTTTCGATAAAGGCCCGTTTGTAACTTTCAAACTCAACCAAGAAAAGGATTGTGAATGGACTGGTTTAAAGTTTTCACGTGATGGAAAAACTATTTTAATCACCACAAATGGTTCTGTTATACGTCTAATAGACGCATTCCATGGTACGCCCTTGCAGACTTTCACTGGTTACCCCAACACAAAAAACTTATCTATCGAAGCAAGCTTTAGTCCCGATTCTCAGTTTGTCTATTCGGGCAGCAGCGATGGCCGAATTCATGTTTGGAATGCCGAAAATGGTTACAAGATATGTGTTTTGAACGGTGACCACCCTGGGCCTGTTCAATGTGTACAATTTAATCCCAAATACATGATGTTAGCTTCTGCTTGTACGAACATGGCTTTTTGGTTACCAACTTCAGAAGAAGGTTTAGTTTAAATGCCTCAATTAGTTTTTATAATATATTTAAGAAACAATAAATGTTAACATAGATACTTAAAACGTACAAGAAATCAATAAAGGTTTGTCTATTTCAAAAATTAAATCTTTACATTATTTGAATTTACTCTAATCGTTTTTACAGTTTGTAAAATTCACTGCAATCATAAAAGGTGTACATTTGTATCCACTTAATGCCTTGTTGTCAAAGCGCTGTGCAGATGAAAACATAAATTTCAATTTTATAAGGAGTAAAACATTTCTGATAGACTAATTAAGCATGGGCTATGCTATGCTTAACGTTTGTGGACTGAATTTAAACTCGAATCTGAATTTTGACACAAAACTTATTAGTTCTAAATTTTTTAATACCAATAAAAAAGCATAAATGTTCTCTTCATTCATATATTCTCAATTTGTAAGGAATTATAATGTAGATATATAGATTTGATAACAATATTTGTATAGATTTGATAACAATCAAATATTGAAATATGCTTTAATGCAGAATCCTTTTCTTGTTTAAGATCTTTTTAATGTATATTGTATACATACATATAATTTATTTATGACTTTATTTATTATGACGGTTTATTGTGCAAACCCTCATTATTTTAACCAATCATTGGACTGTGATGGTTTTATAGAGGTATTCTATTATAATACCTATTCCAGAGGCATATTCTAGAAGTATACTATTAAATATCTTTATTTAGTTGTTATTAATATAAACATATACACAATTCTAAACTTGAGTAATATATATAATAAGTCTGTTCCACGAGCTACTCGCAGTAACTTTGTACCAGAGTTCGTATTTGCGCACGGTTGCCACTTGAAAATTTTTTTCTGTACCAAAATTGGTTTAAATAGGTACCATTTCTGTAAAAAAAGGTCCAAAATTTTTCTATTGTCTTTTTATAAGAAAATACAATTTATATAAAATGTACAAAAAGTATAAAACAATACAATATCCACAATAAAGTTGGGTCGCCGAAAATGTACCATTTTTTGAACATGAGTACCAGAGTACCAAACGGAAAAAAAAGTACCAATTTTGGTACTAAAGTACCATAAGTGGCAACCGTGTATTTGCGTACCCATGAGCGGCACATTCTGCTCACGGCTCATGAGCCGACAAAAAACTCTTTTCATACGACGGCTCACGCTCACGAGCGAGCCCACTACGGAGCTCACGCTCAGGAGCAAGAGCCGCCATTAAGTTATAAATGGGTTCAAGCTCGTGAGCAACAGTATGAGCTGCGGATCATGAGATCTCATGCGCCCAATTTATTTTTTTTTTATTATTAATTTTTTTGTGAAAACATGTCATTATATCAGATTTAAAATATTAATAATCTTAAACTAACTATAATATGCAAATAATCAAAGTTCTTAAAATAAGAAATAAATATATTTGCATTGTTTATTTGTGGAAAATAATATTTTATAAATTTGCTTTTCAAATTCAAATTATTGTTTCATTATATTGTTTTAATATAAATAATAATAAACTAAGTTAATTTTAAATTATATACTTTCACATATAACGTTTATAAAAATAAATAAAGCAAATAAACTAATAAATCGCGTTTTATTAAACAATTGAGCTCGTGAGCTCTTGGCTCGTGAGACCTCATGAGCAGCTCTGCAATATGAGCAACTTGAAGGCTTACGCTGGTGAGCAGCGCTTCAATATGAGCCAATTTTGGGCTCACATAAGAATTGGCTCTTGCTCATGAGCCTGACCTGCTCATGAGTAAGCAAATACGAACCCTGCTTTGTACACAACACTATGTATACAAAAGTGCATTCCACGAGCAAATTTTTGAGTAAAAGAGAGTATCTGAGAGAGCGTAACATCTCTGTCGTAAATTGAAAATGCTAAATAGACTTTACTCGTGAATCAGCTGTTTAAGTTTGAGTTTAAAGTATTGTATTGTTTATTTGCGCGGCACTGGTGTTCTCACTAGACTTTACACAGAGCTGTTTCATGAAAATCTGTGCAAAGAGCGTAATTTGACACTTTATTTGTGCTACGCTCGCAATTTGTGCTACTTTTGTTTTATTTGAGTTTTAAACAGAAGTTACTACGAGTAGCTCGTGGAACAGACCTAATATCTCATAAAATTATATAAAATATTTATTTTTGTATGACTTCATCTCTTTAAAAATTGTAATAAGGCTAAGTATATTCAGACTTATTTAAGTTACTTTTAAAGTTAAAGCAATTTTAATATTGTATAATCAAAATTTCTTTTAAATTTTATACTTAAAACTTTTTTATTTCATGTAAACATATATATTTTTAAATATAAAGCCTTCTTACTTAGTATATAATCTATTTTGATGAAATTAATTAAATTAAATATAATTAAAAAAAATTCAATATAACCCAAAGTTTTGTTTATAGAAAATCTAATGTACAATAACTATTGCATTGCTTATAGTATAATGCATATTACAATAAAAGTTATTTATTATAAGAAATGACATTTATTTCAATAAACGTTTTGTTTTGAACGCGGAATAACAACGAAATATTATTAATATAATATAAAAAACTATTTCATAACAAATTTTTATTACATAAACACCCTGCTGCTGATTTTGACATTTCTCTATGATCGCTGTTTGTATATATCTATCTCTTTCTATCGCATTCATTTTGTTATATAGCACGACCATATTGAATTTTCTGTATCAAAAGTTGAAAATTTTTCCATGATTGTGACGCGTCGAAATTTTAAGCAGTGAAAATTATAAAATACATGCATTAATAGTGTAAATTATCTGATAAATATATTAAAAAAGTGTGATTCTATAAACAATTTATAAAATTTATATAAATGTAAGTAGGAAAGTCTATGAGAAGTGCGTTAATTTTGCAATTAAAGAATTGCAGTTTGTAAAATTGAGCGAATGAAAATTTTACAACCAAATAAAAATCAAAGAGAAAAAAGCGTATTACAAGCAAGAAAGCAGAAGAAGCGAGAAAATTGTAAGAAATAAATAATATAGTCTTAAGAGGTTAAAAAAAAAGAAAAGAGGCAAGTTAGAAAAAAACGCGTACGTGCCGCTTGTGTGGCGTATACAGAAAAAACGTATAGCTGGAAAATAAAAAAAATAATTTCTTTATTAAAAGACAATTAAAAATAAGTTTTATAAATATCTATACACCTACATATATAAATCAGTATAAATCAGTATACTTAAGAGTGAAAAATTGTGCACTTCTATTACAATGAGTGTCGCTGCAATGACTATGGACGATCAAAGACCTTTGATGAACAGTTATGACAAAATGTCAAGTAAATACGAACAAAGCATGCATGGTGTCGGAGGCAGTGGCTCAGGTGCGCCACCCTCCGGGCCCGCATCGCCTACACCATCTGGCTCAGAGGAGCCCACATCGCATCCATATACGCACCATCATCATCATTCGCACCACCATCACCAACATCATCACCAGCATAGCGTCGCTGCGGCAGAACAGCGCCATCGTTTGTTAGAAGGTATTTTTTTTAAAGAAAATTACCAAAATTACACAAAAGACAAATCAAAATTAATAATAAACTTATTTTAAAAAATTGTGTGAGTGTCTTGAGTCTTGAGTTCTTCAAGAAAACAAAGCAGTTCTTTTTTTACTTAGTAACTTGTTGTAATTTATTTTAATTTTTCGAAATGTAATGTTGACTTTTTGAACAATTTTACTAAGAATTCGTTTATTTATCACAATAACATAATTTATTAACAAATTTACTTTAAGTTTTGAGACTTTGTTGAATGTTGCCTATTCATAAAATATTTATTCTCTCGATTTGAAAATACATATTTGCAATTTAGTTTTTAGATATTGATTACTTGTTTGCAGGCTCTAAAAAAAACACTACCACCAACAACAACAACAATAACAATTGTTGAACATTGAAAAACACTTGAAAGAATAAATGCAAAGCGAACACTCTCTTTTTGACTCTTATTTACCCAAAGGACTTTAGTTCATAAGCAAAGTGTACAATTAATGTTTTACCGAAATTTTAAATTTTAAATAAATAAAATAAAATAAAATAAAAGTGTGATAAAAAGTAAATAAATAATATAAAAAATAAATATATACCAAAAGGTGTGTTCAAATAAATATTAAGAACTAAAATAATGAAATATAAGTGGCTAGTGATTAGGGAAATATATATATATATATATAAATAATATATAAAGTTTTACGAAAAAAACTATTCAAATTAGAAATTGTGCAAAAGAAATAAAAAAAAAAATTAAATATATAATTCCAAATAAATTAAATTAAAATTATATTAAAATATTACTAAAATTCATAATTAATTATAAAGTGTTTTCGAAATGAACTTGTGTGTATACCAAAATAAGAAATTATATTTGGTCTTTCCGTTTAAACAAATAAAAATATTGAAATTTTAAAATAATTATAAAATGAAAATGAATTAAATAAAAATAAGCATTGAAAATGTAGTGGCACATTGCTTTTATACTCTGGCGCGTTCAGTTTGTATGTATACATTACTCCCCCCCCACTCTTTACTGTTTTCTTTCTTTTAACGAAATCTATTTTGCCATGTCTTTTGACCTCTTCAGCAAATAATAATACGAAAAGAAAGAAGGCAAAAAAAAAATAAGTATATATATAATATAGAAATAGAAAAAATTCGTATGAAGTAACAAAAACAAAAACACGTCGGCGTTGTCAATGTTTTATTCTGTTGCTGCTCGTTGTCGTTTGTGCTTTCGTTGCCGTTGTTGTCGTCTGTCGTCAACTCACGTCAGTGGTTTAATAAAAAATGAATAAATAAAAAATTATCAACTGTGCTCGAATATACAAAGAATCTACACTGTCTATATCTGTATGTGTCTTACATTCAGACATATGGACATGTAGAATATGCTTAGTTTCTTTGGTAAAGTGAAAAATAATGCTAAAAAGCAATCAAGTCAGCGTATTTCTAGGCCATGCTTAGTTCAAAATTTCTTGTTTATAAAGAGATTAAAATGAATAATAAAAATTTAAATGTGTTTTACAACAAAACAAAAAAAAAAAAAATAAAATAAAATATAAAAGAATGTACAAAAGACAAAAAGAGAAAAAAAATTCATTTGTGCTGTGTTTTAAAAAAATGTTTTATTTTTTATGATAAATATTTGAAAATAAATACATATGCCAACAAGTTTATATATATATTTATGGTTTGTTTGTATTGAAATGAATTATTGTTGTTGCTCCGTGCTTTAGGCGATGAATTGAGATAAATAAATTCCACGTTAACGAACTATCATAAAATCATATGGAGATATATGAACTACCTTTTCATATGGAGATATCAATATATGCATATGAGTATGTGTTGAAGTCTAGAGGAGACGGGAAAGGCTCCTATATTTTTTTCATATAAATATGTATACTTTCAACAATGTTGGAAGTTTGGTCTGCAATACTTGTGTATATAAAATACTAAATTCTTAATTATTTTGCTTAAACTTAAAATAATTGAATAGTTAGATATAAGAGAAACAAAGACATAATAGGTAAATGGATATAAAAGGCAGATGAAATATATATATGTAGATATAACAGATAGATAGATATAGGAGGTACATAGACATAATAGAAATATGGATATAATCGATAAATGAATGTAATAGATAAATGGATGTAATAGATAGATCGTTATAAGAAACATAGATGTAATATATAGATAGAGTAATAGATGGATAGATGTAAAAGATAGATATATGTAAGATATAGAGAGATATAGATAGTTATGTTAGATATATATATATTAGAGAGATATAAATTATATCGATAGATTAAATAGATAGATAGATACAGTAGATAGATATAACAGATACAAGAGATACATAGACATAAAATATAAATAGATATAATAGATAAAAAAAATATATAGATTTAAGAAATAGATAGATGCAATCTATAGATACTTGTAGTAGATAGAGAGGTTAAGATAGTTATAATAGATAGATATATGATATATTGACAGATTTCCTTCTCTTTTTTTCTGTCTGATATTCTTAAATTCGTCAAGAAAACTAATAAATTTGATTTTGAGTACGGTAATATATTTCTTTTGAATATTCTGAATATTTCTTTTGCGTTGGAGCGCAATGGGCAACAGACTGTGTTACTTTAAAAAGAAAAACAATTTTTTTCAATGTTGAGACTCTAATCTGAGTCAGTCTTAATCTGATTCAGTCTTTCTTAAAACGGAAGAATGATTTACTGTAATAACAACAAGATCTATTAGGTGTGATCTTGTAAGGATACAACAAGGTCTATTAAGTCTGATCTTGAAGGACACTACAACAAGGTCTATTAGATCTTTTTTTGTAATTGATGTTTCAATTTTAAATATTAAATTAAATTCCATTTTTTTTTATGGATAAAGTTTGTCTTTATTTTTTTGAATTTAATCTTTTAAACTTAATAATGCATATAAGTATATACAAGTTCTGTAGAGTTGGTTTTGCGGTTTTTCTCAAAGACTGATAGAAAGCACTTATTCGATATTTGTTGATCCGTGTATCTTAGTTTAATAACCTTAAAATTATAATAAAAGGACGGTCTTTGTTTTCGATTAAACAATGGAAAAAGTGAGTTTGTTATTAAATTTTTTAACATAACTTAAATCATTCATTTGAATTTTCGAAAAAATCAATGCAGTGTTATTTCTAGAGGTATTCGAAATAACCACATGGTTATGAAACATAGCACGATTTTTTCATGTTTGTATCTTAGAAAAATTAGATTTAGATGAAGTTAAAATACTTAAGGGATGTTTTGCTAATCATCAATTCTGCGATTTTCTAATGTATATATTAAGTACGGTGAACTATATTGCTAAAGACGTACACCTACTAAGTTGTCCTCATATTATTTAAAAAAAATAAAGTTTGTGTTTGTACACAAGATAAGTGCATTCATCCATCAACTTTCCAATTTCTCAGCCTTACCATCAGATTCTAATCCAACTTAATTTCTTCATCTCTTACAACGGATTAAGAAAGAATATTATAGAATATATTTCTTTAAATTAGTCTAATTCTGTTGAAATAAATTTAATTGTTTAAAACTCATAGTCACCAATGTAGCATATATTGAAATCATTATAGCTGTTATGTTAAATTTAGATATTAATAATTAGGCACCTGTTATTACATTCTAATGCTATCATTATAACGTCTAAAATCTCAAATAAAACTTTTTTACTAATATGAAAATATTAAATATAGTAAAACAACTGATTTTGTCTAATTATCTTTCGTAATTATTGTTGAAAAATCCTTTTCAAAACTTAGCACCGAGAGAGAAAAAGTAATTCCTGATATATAGAGAAACCAAACCATTATATATATATAAAAATGATGTGTAATAATATAATAAATTCCATAAATATTAAATTAGTTATTTAAATAAAAAGGACTAAATGATAAATGAATATCATTATATATACATATATGTAATATTGTATTATATACTTATTACATATTCGCTAATTAATAAGTGTCAAAAAAGAGTGCGTCCGCCAATGTGTTTTTCAATAATCAATATATAATTAAAATATTTCTTAAATTTGTGTTTAAAGGTAAAAAAATTGGTTAAAATTCCTTTTTAAAAATGCATTAAAATTGAATAATAAAAGAAGAAAAGTCTTTATTATTCCGAGAAAATAAAGTGTTGCAAATGAGTTATAGTGAGTAGTTTACATTCGAATCGAATCTATATATATATATATATATTCATTTATATATATATGTACATGCACAAAATTATATATACACCGCAAATTTGTATATATATATATATGTCTAAACGCAAAATAACTGTCGTTAAGTTTGTGACCTCTCCGAGTGCCGCCTTGCTACAGCTGAGAGCAACCGATCTCGAATTACGAAGCACCGTCACAATGCCAAGATATTTCAAGAATGAAATCAAAATCAAGTCAACTTCTCAAGTCAAACACACGTTGCACCTAGTATTGGTATGATTATATATTATGCTATAAAATTGACAAAACACATATATATTCATATATATATATATATATATTGTTCATATATCCTTAATATTGTTCAAAAAGTTTTTAATAAATTTTTTTATTTATAATACAAGTATTATTTAGAAAATATATAATTTTTAAATTTTGCATTAGTAGATTAAATTTATGTTATAAGTAAATTCATGAACTTATTTTGATCCATAACATTCATAACATTCTAGAAGAAATCGAAACTCTTAAACTGGAGCAAACACGATTACAACAACTACACTCCGACGCACAACGTCGGGAGAAAATCCTCATGCGACGTTTGGCGAACAAGGAGCAGGAATTTCAGGATTATGTGGTAAGAAAATTTCATTACATTGTAAAATTTTTTAAAATACCCATTTATTAGATTTTAGATATTCCAATATTTATAAATGTATCATTTAGATACATAATTTTTTATCCATTTACTAAAGAATTTATTAGTACTTTCAACTGCGAATACTTTCAGCTTTTATATTGTGAGAATTATAAGTTATTCCGATTAGAAAGGTTCGAAGAGTAAAGAGACCTAACTTTTAAAAAAGTAGCTTCTTTGTCGTCTACTCTTCCTATGTAGCTTTCGGCAAAGATAATTAACTTTATAAGTTATTTCTGTATAATATCTTGCTGCGTGGAACTATGCATTAAATATAATGTATGTACATAAATGTGTGAACCCGAGTTTTTTGTTATAATCGTTTGTGTTTTTTCTGTATTACGAATATTTGCAGAATTTTCTATTAAAATTGAAAAATAAACATTTTAAGAGCTGCGCTTTATTAGGTTCTACTTTTTTTATATTTTGTGTAATATATTTATAGCTGAACTAACAGATCAGTTAAAAATTAAAAGTTTTAGGAGAATGCAAG